CGGCGGAGACCACCACACCCCACACGGGGAAGAGACTCCGCCTCCACCTCCGCAGCTATGGCCGCCGCCGCGAGCCCAAGACCAAGTACGATCGCCAGCTCAGGTAACGCGTCGGCGCCCTCCACTGCACCCCGCCCTCGGTTGCATCTCCGCGGCGTGACTGGTGGAATCACGCTCTCCTCTCGGGCCCGGTTTCGGTAGGGGCGGCGTGTGGTCTAGGGTTCTATGCTTCCGCTGTGATTCGGCCTGAACTGTCCGAGGGAAGCGGGTGCCCTGCTTCTAGATTCGAAGGCCTGTCGCGGGCCTTGCATTGCAGTCGGGGTGGCTGTTGTTGTTCGGGATTTTGAATCCCTGTTTGGGTCCTGATTGGAGCCAGTGTTTGGTTTCTGGTTCAGACGACCCTACTTGTTATGTTTATGATGATGTTCAGAACTTCAGATGAATCGTGCTTACATGGGTCATGGGTGGTTCGAGTTCCTGTGCATATATGGTACAATAACATGTTGACTGTCCACATTTTTGTAGCTCTTTTAGTCTGCACAGAATTTTGAAATTGAGCTATTTGGAACCAGCAATTCAGCTTATTCAAACCTAATTATCCATGACATCAGGATAGCAACAACATTTACTGACACAAATCTTTGGTGCTCATCATTGCAAACCAAAACTATAATTCATGACAGTCTTTAGTTAATTAATTTAATATGACCCACATTCTATTGTATGGCCTTCTGCCCTTCACTTTTTCTCAATAATGTCTTACAATAGATGTTCATTATTATCTGCTTAAGTTTCTCCCTACAAAAGCTTATGATGAACAAGCATGTACATATATTGAAAGCTACATGGTCTTGTAAATATGAAGTACAGGATATGGGGTGATCAAGGACAGGCTGCACTGGAGAAGGCTAGCATATGCTTGCTTAACTGTGGCCCTACCGGAACTGAAGCGCTGAAGAACCTTGTGCTTGGAGGAATAGGGAGTGTTACTGTTGTTGATGGCTCCAAAGTCGAACCGTCAGACCTGGGAAACAATTTTTTGTGTAATGCGAATATGCGATGCTGTTCCTTCCGTTCCTTCAATTCATTTCCGTAAAAGTGATGGAATTCATATTTACTGAGTACTCTGTATTTCCGTACAGTGGATGAAGGGTGCTTGGGTCATTCAAGAGCAAAATCTATCTGTTATTTCCTACAAGAGCTCAATGATGCTGTCAAAGCCAAATATGTTGAGGAGTCTCCAGCGACAATGATAGATACAAATCCTTCCTTCTTTTCCCAGTTCACTGTTGTCATTGCGACACAGGTATGTGTTTTGATATACTCTTAATATAAGCTGCAAACATAGTGATTCATTTGCTGATGCTTTCTGTGTAGAGTTTTAGCTGAATGAACACTTGCGTTTTTTTTAAGCCAAAAAATTGAAGTAATCAAAATCTTGGATTGTAGATTAGGCGGTTTGTAGGGTCAGGGTTATGCATTAGATATATATAACTGAATAACCTATGTAGCTTATTTTCTATTACAAATAGTTGTACGCTGGGAAAGAAGTGAATACTTTTGTATATTTAAAGCTGGGAAATATATGGATCGTGGTGGGTGACTACCTGAAATGCCTATTTCATATTAGAGAATTTGATGATTTGAGCCTGTGACCACGGATATTAAGCAGTGTTTTCAACCTGCCATGTTAAAAGTTGTAACAAGTCTTTTGTTTTTTGAGGAAATAAATTAAAGTTAGATAAATATATTTATCCTCTCACATGTTTGGAAAGCAATACTACATTTGTTTGCAACTTGATTAAGAAAAAAAAGTTGGTCAAACAACCAAATATATATTTGGAAGCTGTTCAATCAAACAGGGTTACCATAATCTAGTGTCAGATAAGTGTCCTCTTAAGGTGAATTGGCATGACACTTTATCTAGTTATATGCAATATGTTACCATAATCCAGTGTCAGTCTGTCAGTAAGACTTAAAGTGACCGCTTAAGGCGAATTGGCACGACACTTTATCTACTTATGCAAATATGTGAGTGAACTTCTCATAACATAGTGGTCTCAAGAAAATTGTTACTAGTAAATCTCCCGACCCATATAGTTACTGGAATTTTCATTTGCGCCAAAATTTCATTGCACTATGCCCAATGCAAAATAAATAAATAAATGCAGGCTTCTGAGTTAGCATTAAATTAAATTTCTCTTAATGTTCCCTTAAGGATCTACTAACTGCTGTGTGCATAAGAAAATATATGATGTGGTCCACATACTTCATATTTGGCCATGTTTGCAATTGATTATTTATCGAATAGACTGATGATTCAAATGTTTGGTATGTTGTTGTTAGCGGCAAACCTGTTTTCAGTTACTTCTCCCGTACTTTTGTGAATGTAAATGGAAGAAGAGTTTTCTAGTTTGCTGTTGAAGTCTTTTAGCCAATTTCTAGCAAAACATGTATATGCAGTGTTCCGCTGATCCGCTCTCAAACTAAGTTACTAATACCAAAGTTTTCACTACTGCAGCTTCCTGAGAGTTCTTTATTGAAATTAGATAGTATCTGCGGGAGCGCAAATATTGTTTTGGTTGCTGCGCGTTCATATGGTTTAACTGGCCTTGTCAGGGTCAGCATCAAGGTACTCACGCAGGACTACTTCATGCATGAGCCTTAGTTTGTATGACTTGTTAACAATGTTTGGTAGTTAATTATGCTCTGGGAGCCTAACCGTCTTGGGAGAGTCCTGGGCCAAATCATTTTGAGAAAGTTGACCTTTTTCCTTGCAATTTGTTATTAGGAGCACTGTGTTATAGAATCAAAACCAGACCACTTCTTGGATGATTTGCGGTTGCACAATCCCTGGACTGAACTCAAGCAGTAAGAATGTATTCATATCTTGATTGTTCACAGAACAAGTTGCATGATAATTATTTCATTCTCAACGAAATATTTGTTGCCGACTTGCTATTGACTTTCAGATTTGCAAAGTCAATTGATATATGCGACAAGGATGCCGTTGTGCACAAGCATACTCCATACATTGTTATCCTCGTGAGGCTTGCAGAAAAATGGGCAGATGCGCATGATGGGCAGTTACCTTCGACCAGGCAAGAGAAAAGGGAATTTAAGGTACATGTTTTTTGTTTTGTTTTGCTGGCCGAATAATTGAAAATAAATTCTAGGAGTTTCTGATTGTTGACAAAGCTACTGTTTTTGGCAGGACCTAATTCGAGCCCATATGCTTAACGTAGATGAAGACAATTACAAAGAAGCAGTAGAATCTTCATACAAAGTTTCAGTAACTCCAGGAATCAGTGAGTTGATTTATATAATTGCTTTCGTGAATGTAACTTTAACATGATTCACAACTTACTTTTCTTAGTACTGTATGACAAAACTACTTGAATCACTGTGACGCTACCGAACTGTGGTCTACATATATAATTAGTGTGACCTATGTGCCCCCACAACCTGTTCATACTAAGCATTTACATAGTTTGCATTCGGATTCGTAATGGTTTAGGCCTCTTCCAGCCCGTCGGTTGTGTTAAAGTATACTTAAATCACCTACCGAATATTGTTGTGATTCGGTTAGCATCTCCTTTGGTCTCCAAGGCTTGTAACCCTATATAATGTTAACATATTGGCGCCCTAGGTGTGGCGTTTTGGCCGAAACACATCGTTTACTTGTTATCAATTTCCAAACCACGACCCTCCATTCGATCTCCACCAACACCATCGCTATGTCCACCGCACCAGGGACCAGCCCTTCCCTCGCCACCCATACCCTCCCCGCCACGATCAACTCCACCATCCGCGCTCATCTCCGCCCCCATGCCCGCTTTTGCCTCACCGGCGATGAACGTGGCTAGCGTTCGCACCCACGTGTCGGTCACCCTTAGACCTCCACGCCTCCAACTTCTCAAAGTGGCGGATGCTGATCCGTATTCTCCTTGGCAAGTATGCCTCCTTCCCAACGTCAACACCACCATCGTCGACGCCGATCGCACCCTAGATTGGACTTGCGAGGACTACATCGTCGAGTCGTGGCTCTATGGCTCCATCTCCGATGAGATTCTCGACATCATCATGGCGGAGGATGAGACGGCTCAAGATGCATGGGCGCTCATCACCAATCTCTTCCTCGACAACCACATGACACGTGTCGTCTACCTCGAGGTGGAATTTTGCGGCGTTTTGCAAGGTGAGCTCTTTGTCACCGTGTACTGCCACCGCCTCAAGGCTCTCTCGGACGCCCTTAGCGATGCCGACACTCCCGTCTCGGATCAAACACTCGTCCTCAACTGTTTCCGCAGCCTCAACCCTTGCTTCTCCAACATCACAACCATCATCACCATGCAAAACCTGCTCCCGTCCTTCGCGCATACGCGCTCCCTCCTCACCTTGCGTGAGACCCAGCTCGCCAACTCCACGACGATGAGAAACCAAACCGCTCTCTACGGCGGCGCCCCCTCCCACGGCTCCGGCAACTCTAGCTACAACCGCTGTTCGGACCGCGGCTACGGGAACCAGAGTGACAACAACTACAATGGTGGTCACCATGGTGGCAACCGCAATGGCGGTGGTAACTGGTGCAAGAAGAACGCTGGCAGCAACCAGCTCCGGCAGAGGAAGTTCCGGAGGCAACTTGAACGGCGATGACGATGGCAACACCTACCATAGCGCTTCTCATACGGTCGGTCCGTGGGTGTGTTTCAACCCATACACGGGCCAGGACAAGCAACCTCAGGCGCCCCCGACGATGGGACCCAATAGCGGGTTGGTGCCGAAGGCTTGACCATGCAGAGGGGTGAGCGAGATGAACTCCTAGGCACAGGGGGCATCGCCGAGGCCGTGGACCAAGTAGGCCGGCCCTGCGGGTCGCATCGCTGGGGGCGCCTGAGGCTGCTAGGTCTGGCCCGTGTATGGGTTGAAACACACTCACTGAGCAACCGTAGGAGGAGCGCCATGGTAGGTGTTGCCGTCGTCGCCGCTGTTCCGGTTGCCGCCAGAACTTCCTCCGCCGGAGCTGCTGTCGGCGTTCTTCTTGCGTCAATTACTGCTGCCGTTGCGGTTGCTACCATGGTGACCACCGCCGTAGTTGTTGCCGCTCCGGTTCCCGTCGCCGCGGTCCAAGACACGGTTGTTGCTGGAGTTGCCGGAGCCGTAGGAGGGGGCGCTGCCGTAGAGAGTGGTTTGGTTTCCCACCGCCTTGGAGTTGGCGAGCTGGGTCTCACGCAGGGTGAGGAGGGAGCGCACATGCGCGAAGGACGAGAGCGGGTTTTGCATGGTGACGATGGTGGTGATGCCGGAGAAGCAAGGTTGAGGCCACGGGGACAGTTAAGGACGAGCGTTTGATCCAAGACGGGAGTGCGGACATCGCTGAGGGCGTCCGAGAGAGCCTTGAGGCGGTGGCAGTATGCAGTGACGGAGAGGTAACCTTGCACAAGCCCGCGAAATTCCCCTCGAGGTAGATGACACGTGTCATCTGGTTGTCAAGGAAGAGGTTGGTGGTGAGCACCCACGCCTCTTGAACCGTCTGGTCCTCCGACATGATGATGTCGAGGATTTCATCGGAGATGGAGCTATAGAGCCATGACCGGATGATTTAGTCCTCGCGAGTCCAATTTAGGGTTTGGTCGCCCTCGGCGGTGGTGGTGTTGATGTGGGGAAGGAGGTCATACTTGCCGAGGAGAACACAGATCAACATCCGCCACTTTGAGAAGTTGGAGGTGTGGAGGTCGAGGGTGACATGCACATGGGTGCGGACGCTAGGTACGTTCGCCGCTGGTGAGCCAGAATTGGGCATGGGAGCAGAGATGAGTGCGCCGGTGGTGGAGTTGATCGTGGCGGGGAGGGTAGGGGTGGCGAAGGAAGGGTTGGTCCCTCGCGCAGTGGACATGCCGGCGGCGTGGTGGAGATCGAAGGGAGGATCGTGGTTTGGAAACTAATATCAAGTAGTTTAGGCCAAAACACCACACCTAGGGGTGCCATCGTGTTAACATTGTATAGGGTTACAAGCCTTCGAGACCAAGGGAGATCCTAACCGAATCACAACAATCTTCGGCAGGTGATAACATTCCTATACAAATCAGCTATACAAAACTATACTTTAACAGCGTCACATAATTACTGAATCGTAACATGCAGTTGTTTGTGGATGCGCCCACATCGGTTTCTTTTTAAGAATAAGAACTTATCTGCTTCAGGCTTTGTTCTAGATAGTGTGATTGCTTGGTATTAGTGATTTGAGATGGTTGATCAAAGGTAACCTGCTTTGTTACAGTGTATTTGAGTACTATCTGACTGTCCTGTAAAAATTAACAGTATTGTCACCTGGTATTTTGTCATTTTGAACTGTATATGAATACCGACTCACTTGCTGTTCTCTATCCTGTCCGTACCAAGGCATGGGTGTCAACCGTATATGAACACCGACTCACTTGGCTGTTCTCTATCCTGTCAGTACCCACCTGATGGTAGCACGCTAGATGTCACTTAAATAATGTTAGTCACGTGCCATCTGAAACGATTTATTACATTAATTGTTGGAAAAAAATTGTCTTCACGATTTACTCTGAATAGTCTTATTTCCAGATGATGTGTGTTCTGTTATTTATTTGATACAGGAAACACAGCTATGCAGAATGAAAATTCTGACTCATGACCGTTTTCTGCTAGGTAATGAAATCCGTCAGATAATTGATGATAGCTCCTCTGAAGTCAATTTTTCTTCTTCAGATTTTTGGGTTTTAGTGTCTGCTTTGAAGGTATCTTCATTATGATTCGCAGCATAGTAGATGTGATAGCCCATGCTACTTTAATATTCTGTTATATGAAATAGCAGCCGTTCTTGATACTCTTTGATGTTGTTGACACAAGTTCAGAGAGCTGTTTTTTTTTTTTTGTGTGTGTGTGTGTGTGTGTGTGTGTGTGTGAAGTGTAAGCATCAGCTGAAGCAGATGACAGGTAGTTCATAACTTGTTTTTTATTGGGTAAAGCCAAGCTAAAGCCACGTATGAGTTGTGTTATACTGAGAGGACCCATTTAGTAGTGCAATAAGCCTATATGCGTGAAATGTGGGGAGCTGTTTAAAAAAATGAATGTGAAGTGATGAACTATTCACATACAACTGTTACCTGCTGAAGTGGCACAGGGTTTCCTTTGCCCATCTTTTGTGCAATCATTTGTCTTTCTTACCATGGTTTCCTTTTCTTAAGTTGCATTGCCTTCTTTCCATTTTACAGGAATTTATCACAAATGAGGGTAATGGTGAGCTACCTCTCGAGGGAACAATACCTGATATGACATCACTTACCGAGTCAGTTTCTTGCGACACTATCATCCCTCAGGTTCAAGTTTGTTGGCATGACTGTTTCTTCTATTGCATGAATTTTGTTAAGTATTTGCTTTCTGACCAATGCAGGTATTATGTAAGCCTACAAAAGATTTACCAAGCTAAGGCTGAATCTGATTGCCTTGCCATGGACCATCGTGTGAAGAGTATTTTGAAGCGGATTGGTAGAGATCCTGAGTCTATTTCAAGGGCATATATCAAAACATTTTGCAAAAACACTAGAAAACTCAAAGTAAGATGCTTTCTTAAGGGGCATATATATTTGTAACTTCTTTTTAGTGATTGCGTCAACTATATGTGCTCTCATTGTTGAGTGGTTTCTGTTCTCTAGGTCTGTAGATACCGCAGTATGGAGGAGGAGTTTAGCTCTCCAGTCCTATCTAAAGTTCAAAAGTACTTTGCCGACGAAGACAGTTGGTCAGCATCTATTACTCTTATGTTTCGGCTTCATCTCTTCATATGTAATTAACACGGGAAATTATTATACATGTTCCACATTCCATGCTATTAGTATTACTCCATATTCTGTAACATTGTTAGTTACTCCCTCCGCCCCATAATGTAAGATGTTTTTTGACACTACACTAGAGTCAAAAAACGTCTTACATTATGGGACGGAGAGAGTTTCTTTTTGACAAATATGTCATTCTAGAACTTGCCAATTCATAATGCCGTAGAAATAGCATTTTTTCAAGGCAATAAAGCATTTTTTTGTGGAACTACTGTAACACGCGGCCCTTGTGTTTATCTAGCGTAGCGGCATGAGTTTATTTCTTGTTAAAAGTAAATGTTCTTTCAGCAGACCATATTGCAAAATGCATTGCAACTTTTGTGCACACATTGGTATATGTCTCATGATCAGCTTTGAATTGTGCGTGACTTTATGTTGGAGTTGTTAGCCTCTGGTTTATTTGCATTCCTTTTGTATGTTCTAAATGAGTTAGCTTCTCTAATAACAAACAATTTTATTGATGCAGCTACGCAATGAACTTCTATGTTCTGCTACGTGCTGTTGACCAGCTTGCTGCCAGCTATAACAGATTACCTGGAATATTCGACAGGTACATGAGAAAAATGCGCATTCACGTATGGTGATAAGTATGATATCATGCTTTTAACGTTGATCCTGTTTTTTATAATACTGATAAAGCATTGGGTCCACTAGTGAGATTGTTGAGGATGTTCCTAGGCTGAAGGCGGCTGCTGTCTCGGTGCTGAGTGACATGGGTTTGAAGGGAGCATCCTTGTCTGAAGACCTGGTTGCTGAAGTGTGCCGTTTTGCGGGTGCAGAGATTCACCCCGTTGCTGCCTTCATTGGCGGAGTGGCCTCCCAGGACGTAATCAAGGTATGGTATCCTATCTTCACAGAGATTTATTGAGCTGGAACATGCCGGGTAGTAATCAAGGTGTGTGTGTGCGCGCGCTTGTACCTTTCTAACGTGTTGTATCCGCGCCCCTTCTCCAGCTGGTGACCAAGCAGTTTGTGCCGCTGAATGGAACATTCATATTCAACGGAATCGACCTCAAATCCCAAGTCTTGGCCTTATAACATGGCTTGCTATCTTCTATAGCATTTTGGAACGGTCATCCAATTGGTTGCATACTTGAGTAGAACTAGAAGACTCTGCGTCACGGCTTTGGTGCAATGAGAGCATTTTGTCCATTTATTGGGATTTGGACTATACTAAATTTCGCACCGAGGTAGTGTAATTCGCACAGCGCGTAGTTTATGTGCCGGTTGGGAATCAGCTCTATATGAATTTGTAGCATTTCCCCCCTTTTCTGCCGTTCCTCCTTGCTGGCAGTGGAATGTGAATTGGTGCCTAGCTATGTGGCGGCTTCAAGTGTCTTCGTGGCGAAGCAAATATTTCTTGATGACGAATCTAGGCATCTTTGTGCCCAGCGTACAGTTGAAATAGTTGATGGAAATGGGTTGGTGTGTCGCTCTCGCAGCAGGGTCGCAATGCAGGGTCGGACAAGGAAACAGTCGTCCTATGTACGGCCAAAGTGGCACCAGGAAGCAAGCAAGCAAGATGCAGATTGCAGTCTGCCTAGCTACCAGCGACCAACCATGCAACAGAAGCAGCACCAGGAAGCAATGGGCTACGTGCTGCTTCAGTTAATTGTGTAGTTACATTTGCATGCTTATTCAGTTGTTTGGTTACCTTTTCCTAGCATTCTGTCAGCACATGGATAAATTATTTATTGCGTTTACTGGGTTTTGAACCCTGTACTTCTTGGTTGTAAGTTTATGCATCTAAGGCAGCACATTATACGTCAACAATGTGCCCAGCAGACACTAAAAAAAAGTGTATATAATGGTTTTGTGACAGAACACGGGGCCGGCGGAAATTGCCTGGTGCGTCGCTCTTGCGATGTGCTCTCTCTGCACCTGGCGTTGTATGTCAGCATCTGGAACAGGGCCGCAATTTCTCGCAGGGGAGGGGACGACCATGAAGCGAGCGGTCTGCCCATCGGCGACCAAGCACTAGCTAGGAAGCAAGATACAGTCAGGCTGGGATTTTGTAGTGGATCGACATGCTGCATGTGCGCAAGCTAACAAAACCGATTACGTGCTGCTTTGGCTGCTTAATCACATTTTCAAAGTATAAAAGCGCTACTGCATCATCAAACTGCTGCCTCATCCCTGACACATCTTCAAATAGATGTGAAATCACCGACGTCGCCGCACACTGATTACTGATACTGCTTAATTTTACGGTGTGATGAGTACGGAGTTTGCACACTCGCCCGGTAAAGATACTTGTCTGATCAATCCAAAACTGTTAGACTTGGGTATGCATGCATGGGTCAAGACCCCGCGTCTTCGATCAGGTTGGATGCACGTACAGGTCCAGGAGTTGGACATGTCGAGAGATAATTAATTAATTAGCTTTTGCGCGGCCAAGGACAAGCATAACCGGTTGCGCACACTTGCCCATCATGCCCGAAACTTGCCCGAACCTGCATGTCCAGCATATGTCTATCATATCAAGAACGAAGTAAGTACTCCCTCCGTTTCTAAATATAATTCTTTTTAAAAAAATTCAATATGAACTACATACGAAGTGAAATAGGTGAATCTCACTTTATAATTCATCTATAGACATCTGTGTCTAATCAACATTTTGAAATTTCTAAAGACTTATATATAGAAATAGAGAGAGTAGTACGCACCTTCTCACTGCACACTTTGAGACGTACACAAATCAGAAAACGCATGCTGTGGGTTCAAATACACTCTACTATCTAACGTGTTCTATTTTTCTTTTGCGCAGATATATTAACAATTTAAGAAGCACAGAATCGCCACCCACACAAACAAATTACTAACATGCACACACATCTATGCTGACGTCATCTCGCATTCATGCATGAGCTTGCAACGTAGTGCCTCTTTTCCTTTTTCTTTTTTGCAAACATTCTTTGACGCAATTACCTCGCATGTGGGTCGAGCGTTGAGATCGAGAGTATTGAGGCGGCCGGGCTAGTTTTTTTAAAATACTGTACAAACGCAAGCGCTCATATACACACGCTAGTTGCACAGTCAGAGTGAGTTCGCAGGCACGACTATGTACGTATTCGAGGCGTAATTGAGCACGTAAGTACCTGCCGCTACAATCTCGTCGTTTACGTAGGCATAGGGGTGGAAATGGAGAGATCGAGCCCAACGTGCCACTTGCCAATCTAAAGGGAATCTGCAACTTGCCACAATATACCATTCGATCGTTCCTCAAAGAAGAAAAAAAACATTCGTCCCGTTTGAACAGGCCTTGCCTACTTGGCCAGCTGCATACGAAATAGACCGGCACTGGCCTGACAACGAGTGTATATGTACGTAGCACCAGGGCGTACACACCAACACGACACGACACGGCCGTACGTGTACGTAATCAGTCAATGCCGTGGGCAGTCCGCACGGCATGCTGGAAGCATATATTGATCAGATGTACGTGTTCGTGGCCATTGAATCGGAATTGCTAAATATCAGTCGCCTGAGACTTAAGTTTTTTTTCCTTGCATGTTATGTCATTTGACTTAAATTTGATTAAGTCTGAGTCTATGGAGACCTAGCCACACCCTGATTGAATTATTGCATTTGGAGGAGTGGGATGCACGGTCGAATGAGCAAAATAATTTTCTTCCGTGAACGATTCAGACCGAGCAAATTTCCCAATAACCGAAACTCTAATGAGCTATAGATGAATTCGTAATTACAAGATCAACCAATTAGTGAACCTATATACTGTGTCATATTTACATGCCCGTCCACACATTAGGAAACAAAGCGTGTCGTCCTTCTTTCCAGCTAAGCTAGCTGCCTAGACGAACAGCTCGAGCAAGACGGGTGGCTGGTCGGCGGCGGCCTGGTGGTGACCCGCCTCCTCTTGATCTGGCAGCAGCGCGGTCCACCGGTCGCCGGCGTCACTGAGTGCTGCTATCTCCTCGCGGTGCCGCCTCATGTGTCCCCCCAGTGCCTGGCCCATCTCGAACCCAACTCCGCAGATGCGGCACTCGTGCCGCTGCTTTTTCCGCTCCTTGATGCCCTTGGCGACGCCGGCGCCGAGCTCCAGCCCGTGGCGGCCGCGGAGGTGGCTGGTCCGGTGCCCGCCCAGCGCCTGGAACGTAGGGAAGGCCCGGCCGCACGTCTTGCACACGAACTCCCCCTCTCCCGACGTCGCCACCACGGCGCCCCTCCTGCGCTTGGCCGGCGCACCGGCGCCCGAGTCCGTGCTCAGCGACGTCACGGCAGAAGACGTCGAGGAGTCTGTGCCAAGCGACAACGCCAGCGACACAGTTGGCTCCTCCCCTCTCGCGCGCTTCATCCCAGCTCCCATGGATTCGCTTTTCGATTTCCTGTCCTTGGTAGGCTTCCACAGCTTAGCTTGCTGTCGTGTGAGAGAACTAAGAAGCGAGAAGGAATGTTGATCGGCCGGGGCGGCGTGGTTATATATCGGCTGTGTACTACGCACGACGCGGTAGCTTGGTGGAGCTTAATTACGTTACGTGGGTGTCAAGTTGGTGTGAGGCTAGGAAACTAACCGCCATTTTGTTTGCTTCGACTGAAAAGCAACCGAGATTCAGCAATCTACTCCACCCTAAGTAAACTAGGGTCAAGTTCAATTTTTTTTAGTAAACTAGGGTCTTAGTATTGTGATGACACCGCCGGCGTAATTTACTTACCGAGTGCGCAGCTTGAGGTCCTATGTTAATAATAAGGGTATGTACAATGGTTCTATCTTAAGACTGCCACGTAGGATAATTGATGAGGTGGAAGGGAGAGAAATCATAAGAGAAAGCTCGTTTTCTCTTATTTAAGAGAAGACAAAGAGATGATCTCTTAGCATAATTTGTCTCACCATACTTTTAGAAATAGCTAGTTATTGAAGATGAGACTAAGAGATGACCCACTGTAGACATATTTTTTTTTATCATCTCTAAACTACATGCAAGACATAAGATAAAACTATCTTATCAATCATTGTCCATGCCCTAAGTACTCCCTTCGTCTCAAATATAAGAACGTTTTTAACACTTATGGGACGGAGGGAGTAAACCAAATGCTGGATCACCCGTGCGCCCTCCCTAAAATAGTGCTTGTAATTACCTTGCCGCGTGAGCACATGGTTTGCATACTTGCCTGTAAAAATGCTCAGTATCTTCTAATCAGTCCAAAACTACTAGCTAGGTTCAGATATATGCATGCATGCATGGTGAAGACTTGATCGTTGACCTGAAGATTCGATGCCCGTGGACCGACTGCATATTGATGATTGGCTTCAGTTTGGACAGGCATAACCGTGTCAAGTGCGGAACCTGCACAAGGCATGGACGAAACTTGTCCGAACCAGCTGTCCACTATCCAAGAACTAACCAGGAGCAACGTCGATTGGGACATCAAGTAATTAAAGCCAGATTATATCCTCAAATCACCCTTACATATCATTTGCGGGAGTCCGAACACTTTTTGCCATCTAATTATATCCTCCAAGTGTCCAAAAACATGTTTGGACGTCCAAACTCTCACAAAGGAGGGAGGGAGGGGGATTTGGGAGTATCCAGACATCCGTCTAGCTAACCAAAAGCCACCACGTCGAACCATTCGCAAAGGCTGCCAAGCACACACCTGCCAAGCCGTGCCCAGCCGCTCGATTGCCTCGCGATTTGCGAAGTTGTGGAATCCCGCACGAGGGCATAGTAAGTTTAAAGTTTCGGTCGTTGAAACTTACAATTTTACATCTAAAATTTGCTTGTATTTATGCTCAACTAAATTTTGGCCGGTTCTAACCGCCCCTAAAGTTAGTGGAGTAAAACATAATTTTGCATAAATTCAACCTAGTTTCAACCAAAATTTGCATACATTTAAACATAAGTTCAACATAGATAGTCTTGGCAACCGAACATTTAACATAAATTCAAACTTAAACTACACTAAACTTAAACGACACTAGACTACTACTCATCTTCATCGGCCATAGTGGAGGTCGAGCCCATCTTTCCCGAGAGGCCACAGTCGGCGAGACATGCGTCCGGGCTGGTGTCGTCGTCGTCGCAGTCGGGGAACATACTCCACCACTCCTCGACGTCGATATCCTCTTCTCCGCCCTCCTTGCCGGCCTCCTCGCCGCCTTGCACCATGTCGTCGGAGATGACGATGACCTCCCCGTCATTGTCGGTGAATATATCGCCCGCTCTGCCTCCATGAGCTCGGGGTTACTGGCGGCGGATATCCTCCATGTACGCCTCGTCGGCGGCCTCCGCCTCGAGGCACTCCCTCCCCTCTGGGTCCTCCCGAGCCATGGCTGCGCTCACCACACCCGGCTCCAGTGGGATGAGATGGACCGACGCCATCCTAAACAGGAAGTTCAGCTTCGCGGCAGAGCCATGGAACCAGACTTGACACCGGTCGTATTCCATCGCCGCGACCTCGGCCGTGTGGAATGATCTGGCCCACTTTCTCTAGTGGGTCTCCCGATCGGTGATATCCACCACCCATGTCCCCCACAACCGTTGCCAGACACGGAGGTATGTCCTCTATGGCAGCCGCGGCGAAGGAAGATCCGAGAAGTCGACGAACCAGGTGGGAGCGGGAGGATTGAGGATGTGCCCCTAGACGACAAACCACGGGCATGGCGGATCTGCTGCGGATCGGCGGCGAGGACCTTCGGCCACCGCGTCTAGCCATTG